CTTCCAGGCAAGAGCCTGGAAGTTTCCCTGTAGGGAAACAGGCTGGGGCCTGTAGGCCCTGTCAGAAGGAAGCTTCCAGGCAAGAGCCTGGAAGTTTCCCTGTAGGGAAACAGGTTGGGGCCTGTACAGCATGTAACAGTAGTACTAGAGAGAGACAGATTGGGCGGAGGCCAGAGATACTTACCTGCAGCGCCGTTGCTCCAGCTTCGTCTTCGAGGTACCTGCAGCACAGCGCCAACTTCACAGGTTAGTACCTGGCTCGTGAGAGAGAGAGTTCTTCTTCTTCCTCTTCTCAGTCCATCATCTCCTTCTCACCCTCTAGCTATCTGACTTCGCTGCATCAGCAGACTACGAGAGAAAGAGAGAGCTTGATGACATTGGTTCCAGACTCGACTTTTGGGCTTCAGACATTTTGACGAGGGGTTATTTGGGACTTGTAACGAGACTTGGTGTTCACAACTTTCCCATCTCCCACCCCTTCCTCTTCTTCGTCTGATCCCTTCCTCTTCGTCTGTGTATGTCTGGACCTGGCGCCTCTTTCCTGTGTATAGCGCCAGGCCCCTTCATACTTGTGATGAGCATGATGTATGTTTGACTGCGTTGAAACATTGATTGGGCTAGTCATTAGCACTCTAGCATTCTGCTTCGCTATCCTGTACTACGTGAAGAGATCAGTCCCGGTCAGGTCAGGATTTGTATCTAAGTCTTCCCTGCGCTATCAAGCACCATTTTGTATGTATCGGAATGCACATTGCTGTTTGAGATTCTACTTGCACTGCATTGTCCATTCAGTCCTTTTTATCACATTGCGGATCCTCGGTTTATATGTACATCGCCCAATTGGGCATGTAACAGTTGGTATCGGAACACCGCGCGTGAATCAGGACAACCTGATCTGACACGTGTGCGGGGGACTAGGTAGCTGATTAGTCTTGATTGATTGATTAGAGCACAAGTTAGCCCCCAAAATCACGATTAGCCCCCAAAATCACGATTTTGGACCTCACTACCGAAAATCGAAATTTTTTTCTTTTCTTGGACTTTGTTTTCTCGCTATTTCTGTTGTGGAAAATCGCAATAGCGCAACATATGAAATTTCCGTTTTCATTTTTCTTCTGAAAATTCGAAATTTCGTTGTTGAAAATCCAGAATATCTTTCTTTTCAAAAATTTCGATTTCCTGTTGCATTTCCCGTTATTTGGAAATTCGGAATGTTTTTTTTCCGAAATTCGTTTTTCTAAACGGTACGGGAAATCCCTCTTGCAGTACCATTTTTCCAAACTGCGAATACTCCAATCTGAGTAAGTCCGGATATTTTATTTCTTTTCGGAATTTTTTTTTTGCAGTTCTAGGATTCTGTTAATCACAGTTCTATAATCATTTGCAGTCTGAAGTCTAAATTTTTTTCTCATTGATAATTTCGCACTTCAAGGGAGGTTGGGAGACCTACTGAACTTGCAAAACTCGGGATTTTTATTTTTCTGAAATTTTTTTTTGCAAAGTTCAAACTTTTCTTTTTCTGTGGAGGACGCCGCCCTGCCGGTTGGGCCCGAGGGGGCCGCGCGGGTAAACCCGGTGGGACAAAAAACCGCCCAGAATTTTTTTATTTTTTATTTTTGAAACCGGGGTCGTTCTGCGCTCGGCGAGAGGACCCCGAATCTGCAATAAAATTTTGGTTTTGGTGGGCGGGTGGGGGGTTTGGTCTGGGCGGGGAGCGCTGGGGTTGGAGGGGTGTCTGTGATGGGGAGTAGATGCGTTTTTTTCTTTTTTCTTTTTTTGTAAGGAGTGTGTGTGTATACAAGGGGGGGCGAGAGAGAGCGAGAGTGTGTGTGTGTG